CTCACCAACATCTGAAGCATGGTGAGCTGGCTGTCGAATTCTTCACCGTAACAAACACTGCCATAGAAACAGGTGAGCCTCTATCGCGTCACAAATGTAGGTAGATCTGCTTTTTCCCACGCCATTTACATCGAGGTTTCAGGACATAAATAGTTGTTCCATATTGCTTTGACTATGCTACAGGCTGCACGGCCGATGAATCGGGGTTCTATTCCTTTATGAGCAAGAGATATTCTCAATTCCATAGTATCATTATCGACTCTGCGATCCACACATCCGTTTGTGAAGACAGCGGGTTCTTTCTAAGAGAGTGAAGTTGTCGGAGAGTGAAGCTGCACACTTATCTTCACGTAACGATGTAAATATTTCGTGCATTTATATATTTACTCTCCTATAAGTCTGTTTTGTCGTTCACAGTGGCCGCGCGATCTAAGACATTAACTGTCTTTGCTCGTTCGAAAGCTAAGATCGTTGGTTCGAATCCCTCTCTAGGGAAGGATGTCTGTGTGCGTTTATTCTGTGTTTGTGTTGTTCTGTGTGTAGGTAACGGGCATTGCGACGGGCTAATCCCCGTCCAAGGGGTCCTACCGATTGTGTATAAGACTGAGTAACTGAAAAAGCGGCCAAGGCCTGACAATGCACTATAAAGCCATAGATAGATAGATCTGTTTTGCGTTGAGTTTAAGTTAAGCACTGAAACTAGTTTTCCTTTTTATCTCAGGCCTTAATTGTCTTTGTTGAAGAGTTATATCTTCTGAGGTCTAAAGCTGTGTAGTCCGGCAGCGAAAATCAACAGATGTTTTGTAAGAACATATCGCCTCCATCTTCAGGGTTCAAGTGCAAGCTAAGCAATAAACCAGCATGAAGCAGGCAGAAATCTCTGGAGATAACTGTGATATGTTCCTCCGAATCATCTGTTGACTTTCACCAGACTACTCCCTGTTATATCGTTGAATATGTAATTCTTAGTACCCACAGCTGTGATAATCTTGACTCTTACATGATCATTATTGTTTGGGGCGGAATTCTACAGATCTTAGTGCCTCATTTTGTTTCAGACATCACGGCCATGTTGAGCGTCTTATCTTGTGATGATACTTGGAAATTATACAGACGTTTCCAAGACGAAATTTTACTCCATCTTGCAGTAACAGGTAAGGAAAAGAAAAGAACAGGAGAAAGGCTCGTATACAACCCTCCAATTCTATACACGTATTTCATGTTAGTGTTCCCATTGTCACGCATAAGGGGTTGGCGTGACTAAAATTAATGTGTATAAGAGCTAACGCATTGGACTTCTTCTGAACGACATCTGTTTGACGAATTTCTTTGAAGAACCTCGGACTTATCACTGAATCTCTCGAATTCATGAATGAACTCCCTTTCATAACTGCCACCCAGCCCGAGTATAAGTCACCCTCTCGAACAGTTAATTGTCCTCTGTTATTTAGTTTGTTGTCACGGAAATCTTTTGTTTAGCAACTTTGTACTTGGCAACGGCTCGTTCGTTGCTATTCATTGTAGCGGGAACGTGATTTCCGAGCTGTTGTTCAACAATGGATGTCTTCTCCGGCTCCACCATTCCGGTTTTTAGTCGTCATGTCACATTATTCTTGCCTTAAAATCTGGAGACAATACTTTAGAATATACGTGTATTACAACATAGCACAGCACAACAGCTTTATTTAAGGTATGCTACAATGGACTGACTTACTGAAGGCTTCAACATGAAGTGGGGAGGGGCACGAGGCAGCGTAGTTGGTTGAGGCATTATGTTACAAGTCGAAAGGCCGCGGGTTCGATTCCCGATGAGGTAAATTAATTTTTTTCAATTGACCCAATCCTTCCAGTCGTACTGTGGCCCTGGAGTTGAAGCCTCTAACAGAAATGAGTACCAGGGATCTTCCTTAGGGTTAAAGGGCGGCCGGCGTGTAAGCCTGACAACTTCACGACCATCTTTGAGCTGACTATCTAGAAAATGTGGGAGCCTCGACGTCTCGCAACACTGTGGGCCTCCGCGACCTGTTACAGGGAGACCTTTACCTTTTTTCACCATCGAGAGGATTAGTTTCAGCCCCTCTACAACAAGTCAATTGGTGAAAAAAGTCTGAAATATTCTTTTCACAAATTTACTTCGAGGTACAAAATATATACCTCACTCCACTGTAATTCTGAGCCAATGTTCATAAAAGCTCACCTCACAGCATCGCTGTGTTGAGTTCTGCAGCCAGAGGTGAAGACTTGCAATGCAAATGCATCTGTTCCCAGAGGCGGACTGCCCACGTCTGCCCAGGACCGAAGGCATGACCGTCCCCATCGTGACCAGCAATCACGTGATGCCTCAGCTGATGCTCGACGTCAAGATGTCGCAACTGGCATCATGGACCACTTCCATCTTCCTATACGACGATTCTGTCGGTAAGCTGTATCAGTTGTGAAGGACAGCAAGATTTGAACAGAATCTCCTTCATCATTGCTAATTAAACTGTAGACCTAATTAAATTTAAAGATTTTTTGATGGCGTCACACGCTGTTTAAAACTGTTTTTTTTCCAAGGTTCGTTAAACCCAATACATTTCAGAAATTAGTTCTACTTCTGCTTTCAGGTGAAAAGGGACAGGAAGGAAAATAGTAATCTGTTAACCACCTCGTTCTATTTTTCTTTATTTTTTAAATTCGCTTAATGGGGGGTGGAGTCCAATTGGGTCCACTCGGTACGGCGGTCACTGATTGACCTACTGTAGCCTGCCCTGGCTGATTATGATGATGGTGAATTTGGTAGAATGAAGGTTGACAGGGGAAACCGAAGTACTCTTTGTCACTTTGTCCACCACAAATTTCACTTGACCAGACCCGGGATCGAACTTGGGCCTCAGCGGTGGGAAGTCAGCGACTAACCGCTTGAGCTATGGCGCGCCTCGGTGGAGTTACCCTCAGATACAGCCTGGCTCTACTGAAGAAAGCAAAAACGCTTCGTATCTTCATTAACATTAAGGAGGAAATAGAACATATTTCCAAAACATAATTATTTTAGTGAACATTGACGGCGGACAAAGTCCGAAATAATACAAATATATTTCTGTACATTATCTATCGTCCTGTTTCTATCTTAAAAACATCATCCTCTTTATTCTTCAAAACACAACGTTTCGGGGACTGAATTCTCTCTACGTCTTCAGGTACAACCTATTCAGTAGGGCCCATTCGATAGAGCTAATCCCCATCTTCGTATAAAAAAATCCAGTCTCCGGAATGTTGTGTCTTGAAAAATAAACAGGATAACGTTTTTAGATCGAGACAGTATGATAAATAATGTCCATATACGTAATATTTGTACTAATACACCATCGTCAGAAACTTTTAGATCTTATCTATCAAAAATAATAGTCTTAAACTAGAAAATTAATTTAGGATTTAAGGTTTATTTACCGTTGGTTATGAAAATTTCTATCGTCTACGTGGCATTATACCCCAGAAGATAGGACTCTTCAGAAAAAAAAAAAAGTTTGGTGTAAGGTACTGGCTCGCAAGTCGCCAAAACGGAAGTTAAATATACCCAGACGGACTACGCGAAGGATATTTCTTGTGTGCATACATCGCAGGTATATTCCGAGTTCTCTCCAGTCTGAAAAAGTTATCTTTTTCTGCTTCTCTTTATCAAAATTGAATTTAAGGCCCAAAGAAAACTTGCATAATACCAAACAAATTGACCCAGACGGTAAAGCTAGTTGCCTGTATTCAGGAGCTGTCAGGGGTTGAGATTTCAGATTTGATACCTGCCAGCATAACCGAGGTTTTCGTGTATTTTCTCAGTCCAGCCGAGATACCACTTCTGACTAGGCAACGATCCTCTCCTTTCTTACTCTTCCCAACTGAGTTCATTAACCACACTACAATTCAATGTCTTGTAGTCGGGGACACTGAGCGCTTCTTTGAACATCCCACAAACAAACAAACAAACAATATATGTGACACAGATAGCAGACGGTACGGATATATATATATATATTAAAATTAATACTTGACGATTAAGGAGCCATGATAGCGCAGTCGGTATAACGACTGGCTACGGGCTAGAAGACCGAGAGGTCGGAGTTCGAGTACCGGTAGGGTCAAGAATTTTCGCTTCTCCACGTCGTCCAGACGGGAGCTGGATTCCACTCAACTGGGTCAACACTCTGGCTCCTGTAAATCGCCTGCAGCGTCTTGTTTAGATTATTTGCTTAACACAAAAGTCGGAGAAGTTGCCGAGTTCTCACGGCGAATTTAATTGTGTCGTAGCTACTGTTAGTTCCTCGGAACTCTAGTCATGGTGGAGGGGTCATACCATCTCTCGCGGAGCTGGGGGGGGGAAGTCTTATCAGCTTACGCCAGCTTGGGTACTACCAGTTTGGAATGTAGCGTCTTGGAGTGTGGTCAGGTGTATAGTACGTTGTGTTGTTTGTTAGTTCGTCTCTGTAGGCAAGGTTTTCCGCTCGTGGAGTAGCTCTGAACGTCACCACAGCAAGCGTACAGCTTCGCGTGTTCCTCAATAGCTTTTACCTTTCTGCGCGGCTATAGTTATGGGGCACTAACTATAAATGGCAGCTCAAAAAATTAGAAAGAAGGAATGTAAATTACAGGAAACTGAACGTAAAGCTGTATCAAGCGTGAACAGTTCAAGTTTTTAGCTTTTAATGATACTTCTGCTCGAAATTCAGTGGTGAAATTTTCTGATATTCTTTGCACAACATGAAATTAATAAAACAAGACAATTTAATTACAATTTGTATCCATTTTTTGCACATATCCCTCCAAACTCCTACGAAGGCTTCAACACGTCTGTAGTAGCGGAGTAATACATTTTCAGTTTACTTTTAGTGAACAACGAGCGTATAAACATTAAATAAACAACGAATCCGGTAAATAACAAGCAAGATATTGTCACGTGTTGGGAGTATAACGCGACAAATAATTTCACGCCGTATTGAATATAGCGACACAGTAACTTGTAAGCTGATCACAGTGGCCTCACATTCTTAAGTATGAACTGTCTTCGTTCGCTTGAACGCTGGAATTGTGGGTTCGAATCAAGACACTGTATTAAATGGCACAAATATCGTTTCCACCTTACAAACTCACTTGTGTGTCATGTTCTTATTCCCGACTCCAACTAACTTCATGGAGATGAGCCTTTCTTGAGACGCCGTCAGTCGCCCAGCTACTCAAGAATTTCCCATAATTATATTGAACCTAGAGATTCATTACCGTGTTAAGAAGAACCCGCCAATTTTCTGTGTCCTGAGTCAGATGAATCCAGTCCATACCGTCCCATTCTATTTTTCTAAGAGCAATGCTGTTAGTGAAGAATTTTGTGTTTTGGGACTTAACACCGTTTAGCACGTTGAAAGTCAACCGGCGTCTCGAAAGGACATGCCACCTCCATTTCAGGGCCGAAGAATAAACCGGGCAGAGCTGTCACGCTGGTTTCTTGTTGGGCTTATTCTTCGGCGCTGATGATGTAGGCGACGTGTTCCTCAGAAACGCCGGTTGACTTTCAACGTGCTATATGTCGTTATATCCCAGAAGATAGTACTTTTCATAACCACCGCTGTGAGAACCTTACATTTTACGCAGTGCTATGATTGCCTGTATTAAATTAAGTATGAAATTTGGGTTGTCTGTAATAGCATAATGTCCATACCAAGTTTTTTTTCAAACTCTGTCACACGATTCCAAATTGAAAGCGGAGACATACGGACAAAAAGACGAACAAATACGGAGACACAAAGGCAAGATGATATAACAGGTTTGTTTTATCTCTTTAAAGAAGGAAAGTAGACCGAGTCCTATATAAATAGGTTTCGATTATGTGAATTTCACTGAACTATACGGAAGGGATTCTTTCAAAATGCGAGACTCGTGACGACGACCTTCACTTGTGCGCAGACTTGGAAATGGTGGAGCGCACAGTAATGAGTGTGTCTGTGCCGACTCCTGGTAAAGAGGGCAGTGCTGCAGCAGTGGCAGTCTTCAAGGTGCATGGTGCTCGCACGGAGTGGAACAGGTATGACCTGAGAACATGATGTGAAGAGATCTGAGCTTCGATAGAAGGATAGTATTAAAATCAGTGATCATTTACATGTTTTGATAATGGTTCATTCACAATATAAAAATTATTCTGTACGTTGTCTATAGTCTAGGTACATGTTTGACAGGCATGTACCCAAATTTTCGGAAATTGGAGGCAGTTGCATCGTAAGGCGTATGGGAGGGAAGGATTATTCTCAGTATACAAACTGTATCAGATATTTATATTATTCTTTGTACAAATCTTTTAAAATATTATCAAAGTTTTATTATTATTATCATCTTTATTATTATTGCTGCAGAAAGAAATTTGTTATGGAGGTACTGAAGAATTTATTGTTGTTATTATTATTATTATTGTAGAAGAAAGTCTGTTATGGAAGTACTACAGAACTTTCCCGTGAACCGACTTGGTTCCAATTTCATCGTTGTGGTTTCCCAAGAACTAGTAAGCGTTATCATGGAAGTGGTAAGTAATTCACTTCATGATTCGGTCGTGGCTTATTTGAAATATTGTCTCCAACATTTATCTGGAGAAATTTTTGAAAGGCCACGAAAATACGTTTTTGTGAAGGTATTCGAACCTGGGACTGCTACTCTTGATTCCGTCTCAGCAGCTGGTCGCTGACACTAAAGTGACATCGGGCTGTGGTAGCGAATTTCTTCCTCAGTCTGTTCAGATGACGGCCTTGTCTGAGAAGAAAGAACACAAACCAGTATATTAGTACTTAAAGTATTTACATCTGTAGCTGAGTCAGAAGTCAGGCATATGCTTATATTCTTATACATGGAAATAATTCATGAATGATCATGATCAAGTTTGTTTCTCGGCGACTGATGACAATTTTATAGACGTCCTCCCTTGCTGTCACTTCTTGCCAGTATTAAAAACACACTCATTTCATCAAACTCTCCTAACTTACTTGACGTCTTTAGGCTACATTATTTACCACAGAAAACCAAACTTATAAATATGTATAACTTAAATACGAGTGCATTGTAATAAGATACCTCAGAATACTAGAATAGTCACATAAATACGGTGATAAATTCAAGGAGAAAAAGTTGAGCGGTACAAATATTGGCCATGGGAGAGCTAAGAAAAACGTACAAATTTTCGACAGAAAAATCTAAAAGAAATAAGTCACTTAGGAGAACTAAGCGTAGATGTGAAGATGATATTAACATTTACCTTAAAGACACAGAGTAAGAAGCTGTTGACTGAATTATTCTGGCGCAGGATAAGGATAAGCGGAAATTACATTTACCTTAATATTCAATAATACAGAGTGGGACAGACTCAATTAGGCAGTTTTTGATTAGATGTTATTTTTATTGATAAATGTTAACAATTGCAATCGTTACAAAAATGGAATCGCACACACATAAGTCATCGATTTTCAAGATGCTGGTCAACCTGGGCACCACCTAAGTCAACACAGGCTTGCAGACGCAAAGCAACATTTTCACACGCCTTTCTACACATATTCACCGGAACTTTATTGAACTCCTGAACAATCACCTCACGCAGATGTTTCACACTGTCAATGGGATTAGCGTACACCTTGTCTTTGAGGTAACCCCAAAGGAAAAATTCTGGTGGGGTGATGTCGGGTGATCGGGCTGGCCACTCCACAGGCCCTCGACGGCCAATCCAGCGTTGAGGAAAAACTTGATGCAAGAACGCCCGAACAATATTGGCGAAGTGTGGTGGGGCCCCATCTTGCTGCCACCACAGTTCATCAAAGTTCTCTCTCCTCTGAAGTTCTGGGATGACACTTTCCCTCAGCAACTTTAGGTAGGTTTCCCCCGTGACGCAACCTTCAAGGAAGAATGGACCAATCAGTCCTTCGTACGTCACGCCGCCCCACACCATCACTCCCGGGGACTGGAAATCGTATTCAATGGCGGCACTGGGGTTCTATGGCCGCCAAAACACGCAGTTGTGTCTGTTGACCGATCCTGATGTGTGAAATTTGGCCTCATCAGTCCAGACAATATTCCTGAAATGGTCAGGATTCTCCTGAAACTGGTCAGCATCAACTCGGCGCAATCAAGTCGCCTGTCGAAGTCGTCCTCGTTAAGAACATGAATAAGCCGTGGATGGTATGGCGTCAGCTTCATGTCACTCAAAACTCTTGGCAAACTTGTCCTCGAAATATCCAGTAGGGCCGACAAACGGCAGGTAGACTTCGATTTCTGAGGAAATGATGCCAGTTCCGCAGCAACACGTGCTTGTGTGTCAGCAGTTCAGAAAATTCTCGGCTGACCAGGATGCTTGGGATTCAAAGCACTGGCAGTTTCATCAAACTGCTTGTTTATTCGGACGATTGTGTCCCCGTGGACTGATGGCGGTCCAAACTCTTCCAACATCCTGCGCTGGACTTCTGATACATTGTTAGTAACTGAGAAAAGGCGCACACATTTTACACGCTGCTCGATAGACAACCGTCTACCGGCCATGACGTTTCTTCGATGCGCAATAAGTAGGCAGAGTATTGACCTCGTTCACAGCATACCGTATGATGCTACCATCTATCGACAACAAAAGGTACTTTCCCATTATCCCGTGTGTTGTTGGATTGGTTAGTTATTAATGATCAAAAACTGTCTAATTGAGTCTGGCCCACCCTGTACATGTAGGAAGAGAATTTCTTCATCAGTTGAGTAAGCGTCTCAAGGAAGGTTCTGCTCCGTAGAATTGTTAAATTCAAACAATAAGGTTACTTTCAATACTTACATCTTGAAGTCCATGGATATTATTATAGGCCTCTGTATAAAAAGAAAGACGATCACGGTGGCCTCACAGTGGCCTAACAGTGGCCTCACAGTCTAAGGCATGAAATCTCTTCGTCCGCTTAAACACTGGGATCGTGGGATCGAATCCCACTCGAGGCATGGATATCTGTGTTAATTCTGTGTTTGTCTTTTCCTGTGCACAGGTAAAATCCTTGCGACGGGCTAATCCCCCGCCCAAGGAGTCATACCGACTGTTTATAAGATTACGAAACTGAAGTGAAACGTCGTTTCACGTATACTCTACGCTCCAGATGTAGCGGTAGAAATTAAATAATACAAGTAACAGTAAAAATAGTAATTAAAAGTATCAGTCAGAATATAAATAAATAAATGCATAAATTTACTGGTAGAGCCAGGCAGTGGGACTGACACATCCGGAAAGCCAGTGGCTCTACATCATCTCTGACCCAAAAGCACTCAGTAACAACATGTCCGCAGTCACAGCCTTGTTGAGTGAGGGTCAGAATATCGCGTTTGCTCACGACAGCAGCTCCAGTGGAACGGATTGTGAGGTAAGGAATCAGTCAACTCCTTGTGATCCGTGGAATATATTGTACTATATTTTGGGATGTCTGTCCAGCGTGGGTTCTCCCCACACACACACACTGAACAAGCAGTCCACATTTACTATCTTCAAACAGAATGTAAATTCCAAAATTGCTTCCACACAACAACCAGGTTGAGATTTAAGGAATAGTTAATATATCGAACTTTATTTATTTACCGTGCCGTGTAAGCCTGTTGTAAAGAGATTTGACACGTCTGTTTCTCCAAATAGCCATCCTCCACGTAGGTTTCCGATAATCCAAAACCAGATGCATTCAAATTCTTGAAAACCGTCATATGAAATGACTTGTTTGTTGCGTTAAGAACTCCTTATATCACTGAGACCTTATGAAGTTCTGTTTTATTCATAACACTATCCTTAATGATCAGTCAAAATATACGCGTCCTAATTCCAGTTTGTGCTTACCAGGGCGGGCTGTTTTGCCACGTGGAGGAGCTTCTACAGAGTTTCGTAGTGGCACTGGACTTGGTCAATGAAGACGAAGAGAATTTCATCGGCCAGGTATCCCCGGAGGAATGGGACGTTATCAGTCCAACCAAATACAAGCGCCGCTCCGTCCTGCTCGACCTAATGAACGTGAGGATAAGGCTTCCTATTCCAGCATTGTGTGTGTTCGTTAGCTGTTAAGTGCTGGCAATAATTACGGATAGGACCAGAAAATAGCAGTAATAAGTGTCTATGCTTCTATCTCTATTGCATCCCCAGGCTTTATCAAAAGCAGTTACTTGTATATAGCGGCCGCGCTTATTCTATCAGGATGATTTTTCAGAAACTGTTATGTTCATACCGTACATATTCACAGAATCGATGCGTTTTGGGGCTTTTTCCATCGTCCGGAATTCTAGGTAATAGAGAACACTCTAGGTAATATCTAGTAATTCTGTGTGTCATCCACCATCGTCAGAACCCTTTAGAATCTACTCCTACATATTCAGTTAAATCGCATTTAAGAACATCCTTCAAGAGGTCCAAAGTGTAAAATTTGATAAATGATTCTATTATCTTTGGAAACGTGCGTGAAAATTTCGAAATATAAAATATTTTTCAGTCAAAATATGGAATGGCTTTCAATTAATTTTACATTAATGTTGAAATAAGATATTTAGGGACATGATTGGAAAGGACATATCCTCGAATAATTCTGTTCGGAAAATATAGCGATTTACGAAACCTCTCGTTAAAATTGGATCTGATAACAAAGAGTTAAGTAGTACACCATAGTACCTTGTGATGATATGTCATAAATAATAATTACTGTAGGAAAAATTTGTGTCACAGAGAAAATTCTCGTTTTCTCTTCAGTAGTAGAAAGTTTTCTCAACTTTTCTGTCGATAGAGGTTAGTCGCCGGCTTCCCACCGCAGCGGTCCGGGTTCGATCCCGGGGTCTGGTCAAGTCGGATTTGTGGTGGACAAAGTGGCCCTGGGGCAGGTTTTCTCCGAGTACTTCGGTTTCCCCTGTCAATTTTCATTTCATCAAAATTCTCCATCATCATAATCACCCGGGACAGGCTACAATAAGCCAATCAGTGGCCGCCGTGCCGAGTGGACCCAGTTGGACTCCCCCCCCCATTAAGCGAATTAAAAAAATCTGTCGATAGCGTCAAAAACTGGAAAAGGCAATCTCTTTCGTTAAATAGCCATGCATTTCTATGCCTCGTTCGGATTGGAAGAATAAAGCAACAGTAGAAATTATGTCACGGATAGGTGTCTAATTAAAGTATCAAGTGACTTAGATGTTAGTGCAGACAAACCCTGCCAATCTCTGACGGAGGCTGTGCTGTCGCAGACCGCGCTGAGTGAGGGCGGCCGCTGCGATAACTGCACGACTTGGACATTAAAAGCTGGAGATACGTGGGGGCTGGAATATCAAGAACAGGAGCAGACAGACGGGGGCCATAAAATGACCAGACATATGATCACTGTTGGTCGGTGGTCGCTTCGAGAAGGTCTCAGGATGTCAGACTACCTGTTCCCTCACATAAGGAAAGGTTTCGGAGGTCGAAACCTTCCTATCATCTCGTTTCAGGTAAGTATAGTATATCACTGGTCTTACGATCAGTGGGGAGAGAAAGTTATGGTATAGTGGATAGGATTTTGTTCCTTATTTTGGCTGCCCCGATATCGGTTCTTGGGGGGCACGAGGTAACGTACTCGTAGTTCATTGAGGCACTATGCTACAAGACTGAAGGTCGCGGGTTTGATTTCCGATGAGGTCATTGAATATTTTAATTGATCTAATCCTTCCAACGGCACAATGGCCCTGGGGTCGACACAGCCTCTAACAAAAATGAGTACTAGGAATTAATTAAATAATTTTCCTGGGAAGTAAAGCGCGGCAGGCGCGTAAGGCCATCTGTGAGCCGATTGTCTAGAAAATGTGGCAGCCTCGACCTCTCACACCCCTATGGGCCTCCACTGCCTATTACAACGACAGCTTTATATTTAATTTATGAGTTCGGTTCTTGGCCCATATATCGAATATTCTGGCATTTGTATTTGTTTCTTTGGTCTCTTCGGGCAAACGTTGCGAGAATAGATCGAAGTACTCATAAGCCATTACTGCATCCTTCATGTCTTTCCGAATTCATGGTATTTTAATTACTAGGTACTACATTAAATATGCATTTGTGAAAGTGTCTACATAGGCGTCCAATAGAATTCATCTGATGATTAAATGTGTTGTGATGATTGCATCACATTTTTTACTGTTGACTATGTTAAGAATTCAGTTTCCCTCTGATCGCTCTGTGACAAGTGAATTCTTGCAATGAACCCACTTTTATTCTGTTTTGGTGGAATATTGTGACAAGAGACTATAACAGACATAATCAATTTATCGCTGAAATTTTTATCATAATATTGGTACTGTCTCCAATTTCAGAATCCGCCATGGCAAGTCATCAAATATAATGACACTACTCAGAGGACAGATTATGATGTACTACTATTTAAAATTGTTAATCAACTGGCACAGAATTTAAATTTCAGGTATGTTCATATTAATTAATGTGTATCAGATGTATTTTCAATATATAAATAGAATGTAAAATAATTACATAGTTCTGGGATTTGTATAAATTGTCAAGAAATAAACTATTATTCTCGCTTCCATTTTTCTCTGAACTTTCTCAAATCATGAAATTTTATTTTCAGATACACGGTCATATTTCCAGCAAGTAACAAAGAAGGATGGACAAGTGATTCTACCTTAACGAAAGACGTGAGCTCGTTTTATTCCACCTGTTTTTTTAATTCACACAGATGATTGAGAATCTGGTGGAATGAAGATTGGCAGGGGAAACCGAAGTGCTCGGAGAAAACCTGCCCCAGCGCCACTTTGCCCACCACAAATCCCACTTGACCAGACCCGGGCTTTAATCCGGTCCGCCGCGGTGGGAAGCGAGCGACTAACAGCTTGAGCTATGGTGCGGGCCTGTTATTCCACCTAACCACTATTACATGGAATAATGACTGCTCACAATCCCATGAAGAATCGCCAGAAAATCATAACTTAATTTTTCGTAGATAATAGATTAAATCTGTATAAATAATACAATACATAACCATAAAATGTCATATTTTCTGGTAAGTCTCAGTAATAAAATAACATTGATGGATCTATAAGTACGCCTCCATATTAACTAGAATTTACTTAAACTCTACAGTATCAAATTTAGTCTCTAAATTTTCATGAACCAAAATATTTGTAAACGATTTGAACTTAGATTTAAATCTATGAGGACAATTATTATAACTCGTTCTGAGAACTAGTCATCTCTACATGCAGTAGTTGTCCTTCAATTCAACGTGCTTCAACACATGAATGAAAGAAAGGCCTCCCTCATTTTTACAATATGTACTGAAAGGCGGCATTATTTATATTTATGCATAACAATACATCTGATGGGACTGAAAAAGGAACGTGGGAATTTGGTGGGAACAAGTCGTTGTTTGTAATAAATTTTACAAACAAAGAATAAAATTGCTCTTTTATATACAGTAATGCGTGTGCTTCCAATTTATCTTTCAGAATGACGGCAATGTAAGCAACGTTTTTCTTGAAACCGATAAGATCATTGAAATACTCCGTAGAAAGAGGGTAAGACACGTCAATAGAAAGTTTATGTATATAATAACATATGTGCATGCATAATTATATCAGAATTCCCCAGTAATTGAAAATACGACCTTCGACATAAATCCCTTTCCCATCTAGCCAGCGATGTGCCTTGAGGACCTGAAACCTGCCTCCAATAAGAAGGGTTCTATCTTCTAGAATATAATGCCTTGAAGTCAGATGAAAGTCACTGATGAAGTCGACATGTTCTCCCGAAACTTCAGTTAGTTTCAACGGACTACACGGCGTTATATCGCAGAACATAAAACTCTTCATAACCACTGTAAGAACCGCATCTGCTCTCTTCAGTAAGTTCGGGGTAGGAACACAGTGTATAGTAAAGCTAAAACGTAAAGTCGTCCATGTGTTTAACTAATTAAGCATTACACCTGAAGAGGTAAGGGGGAGTGGATATATGGATCCACGTTTTCTTGACGTCGGCATCAATTTGAGGTGGGTAGTCACCTTCACGTCCTAGTCGTTTTAACCCCGGGGAAGAAGCCCCGGGTACCCATCGGGCAGGGGAGACGATGGGTTTCAGAGCCGGTCTGAAAGACGTGGAGAAGTGAAAATTCTTAATCCTACCGGGACTCGAACTCGAATCCCCCAGCCGTACAGCTCGTAACCAGTCGCTATACCGTCCGTGCTATCCCGGCTCTATGTTGTATGCAGTTCTGAAAATAAAATGTCAGGATCTTGAAGTATTCCCTTGCTCTTGTCAGGTATTGCTTGCTGCAGGCGCCTTTGCAGTGACGCCGAAGAGAAAGGAACTCGTCAATTTTACTATGCCGATCTCAATCCAGACGTCAATGCTACTTACATCTCGCCCTGATGAAGTCAGCCGGGCGCTCATCTTCATAGCTCCCTTCTCATATGAAGTAAGTTAACTGTGAAGTCAGTTTAATGGTCTCATGAGTAGATGCAGGAATTATTCTGCAACCGGAGGCAGCCAAAAATATCCTACAGTTTCAGATTAAGCAGTTCAGGAATATTTCGACGGATCGCCCTAGAGATACACGTCTGTATATGAAGGAATATGACGTCGAATTTAAAAATAATACATTAATTTGATATTAATATTTCCTTGTTTTGAATTTTGATTATTATATGGTCCGGAGATATGGACTAATTCTATCAATTGGGAAGCATTTTACCTGACGACGGAGGCAAGTTCAGAATCCGAAACATCGCTTTAAATAAAGAACAGGACAATGGATTACGTCCAATAAAGTTAATAATGTATTTACAATTTTTTTATTTTTATTTTTCGAAATCTTAGGGAGGGAAGCATATTCCCAGATTTCCCCTCCTTGATGGCGTCCCTAAATCCTTATAATTGTTTGTATTACCAATACCAACTTTGTAGTCATCATCGTCAGGGCGTGGGGAAAAAATGTGAATTTCTAATCATAATATTAACAATTCATGACAACACTAAATTATTTGAAATTATTTTGCCTTATTTGTGATAGCACAGAAAAGTTTAAACATTTCATTCTAATATCACCTTAAAATTGTGCTTCAGATAATATACAAAAAATTCAGTTCTTACCTCATAGGAAACACATTACGTCTCTTTTACAAATATTAACCCGTTGATGCCGTTTAGGAAAACAAACCCCGTTTATTTTGAGAAGTATACGAAAGACACCCTGTGTGCAGAACGCAGAGTTCTAGTGTGTTAATACAGGTGGTAAATAATCACTGGGCTTGATAGGGTTAATACACTTAGTTTTCTGGTTTTCATGACCTTCAGAATTCAGATTATAATTTCCTGGGTAGATACTAGCGTTTGGAACCAGCGCGCTACCTACATCCTTAGGCTCACAGTTTCCACTGTCCCGTGCTGGGCTCATAATTCTATGCCCCTCTTGTGACGTAATTATTCGGGATCCTTGTAAGGACCTTCTTTTGCTCCTTCCTTGCAAACTGCCTATACAGTAAAAGCAGACCGTAACCTCACCACATTCACTTCGATCCTGAAGAGAGAGGCAGCATTTTCCTCCGAAACATTGGTATCCACATATAATTACGCTTGCTGCCACAACCCGAAGACTACGTACTTTGCTAAGCTGTACTGAATTATTGGGATATTTGTTTCATTTTAGTAGGACGAGTTTTGAGAAATGAATATTTGAAGCTGAGTATTTCTTATATTGGTTCAGCTGGTCAAGAAGCGTTCCGTTGTTATTGAGCCCGATTATCCAGTATGGTAGTAATAAAAACCAGCAAAAGGTTTTCTAATTTTCCCTTCGCATTCTCTTTATACAAGTGTTAGTGGAATTTCCCAGGACATAAAGAAATCTGCACTGATCAGTCATTCTCATTAAGTGGATCTTTCTTGCAGACGTGGGCCTGTATCTTGTTGCTGATGGTCATCGTGACGCCACTGCTCAACTACTTCCACCGTCACAGTCCTTACTACGAGTACTTCTGCAAGAGAAATGTGAAGGGCGGTCTCAACTCCCTGTACAACTGTTTGTGGTACGTGTATGGGGCTCTGATGCAGCAAGGTGCGTTCAGATTCTTTGTTTCCTTAACCCTGTTCATGTTGGTTACATTTGTTGGTGTTTTTCCTTCGCAAGATATACTTTCTCTGCTTTTAAAAACTTCGAATATTTAACAACTGACAGATGGACGGACACTTTTCTTCCACTAGACCTAGACACCAAAGTAATCCTAACCAGAAAGGCCGTTGTTTTTAATTGAAATATGTTGTACATAACAGCTAACGGCGTTCGGACCAGAACATTTCTCTGTGTATGGAACACCACTGACTAATATACTGATTTTGTGCTTTTCATTTGCATTCCAAACGCTCAGAATTCGTTTCACTCTAACAAGGCATTTCCTGAATGATAATTAGTAACTCATTATCGTTGACACCAAAATACAACGTCCATATTAAATTATTATAACATAAGCCTATGTAATCGTAACGGCTTTTACTTTCATGCCCTCAGAATTTATTCCATATTTCATATTTATAAGTTTATTTTCCGTGTTACCATAAATAGCTATTGTTTTCACAAATATAATTAAGAAACAGTGTTGTGTTTCTATTGCTGGAATAAGGACTTTGGCATTTAAATATTATTGAAACAAACATCTTTATTTCAGAAGCTTAATTAACACTGCTAGCAGAAACTGATGCTCAACGCCAACAGTACTATGATTCAGATGCATTTCCATGCTCACAACTTTCTTCCTTCCATCATTCCTGATACTGCCTTTCGATCTCAATTTCGATCTTCAAAATTAGTTTCTATTTTCTCCACAAAATTTCTTATGTATTTTCTCATTACACCTCCACTGATTCGGTGAGTTTGTGAATCGTACAAACTACGCCGACTTGGAAGGTCTAGACATAGAGGGAAGGCTAATATTAAAATGGTTATTAAATAAATAACATACGGGGATGTGTTCTGGATCTGTCTGACCAGAGGTGTACTATTGTGAACATGGTACCGAATGTAAGATTTAAGGTTTTCACGACGATGACTACGAAGAATACAGTCTTTTGGGATGGGGGGCCATGTAGACATCTGCTCACTCTGGTTCCTCGCTCGCAGATTTTTATACCTTGAAGAAGGAGGCGATACGTCTTCTGGAACGTCGGTTTACACAATGTCTACCCGGCGCCACATCCCAGAGGACGATATTCTTCATAGTATTAAATCTTTGGATTCCTTGAAAGTCGAAGATATTTGACTTCTTCAGCTGATAACAGTTTCTCAAGAAGCACTCTTCTTGCTGCAGTCAGCTACCGTTACCTGACAGTCTTTTCTGGACTGTTTTGGCAGGTGGTATGCATCTTCCGGAGGCTGACAGCGGCCGCATAATTGTGGGCTTCTGGTGGCTGGTTGTCTTGGTTATTGTGACGTCATACAGCGGCAGCTTGGTTGCTTTCCTCACTTTCCCCAAATATGAGGTCGCCATTACAAATGTAGAGGAACTTCTGGCACGCCGGAGCACGGTGTCCTGGGGAATTCTGAAAGACACGGCTGTAGAGGAACACCTCAAGGTAAGTTGCAGCTAGGCCGTGCCATAGCTCAAGCGGTTAGTCGCTGGCTTCCCACCGCGGCGGCCCGGGCCTGGTCAAGTGGGATTTGTGGTGGACAAAGTGGCACTGGGGCAGGTTTTCTCCGAGTACTTCGGTTTCCCCTGCCAATCTTCATTCCACCAATTGCTCCACAATCACCCTCACCTATCATCTGGGGCTGGTACAATAGGCCAGAAGTGGCCGCAGTACAAGGAACTTAGACCCACCCCACTAGCAAAAATAAAAAATAGTTGCAGCTACCGCCGTGGGCTGTTTCTTCTACTGAGGTATAATTTAAAGAGACTTGAAACAGGACCTAGAGGCCTAATAAACCTTGCCAGTATAAAGGAATGAGAACAATTTCACGTCTATTCAGCCTCTATAAAAAGCACACAACTTCCTCGGCACTTCATTTATGTAAGAGGCCAAACTTTGCAAAATACAATACTCATTTTATCTTAAATCGTCGGGGGATAAAAGTTCAGGTAGGAAATTGTGCGATAGTGGAACATATCTCGTACAGTAAATTACAAAATTGGCAATGCACATCGTCAATACGTGATTTTCGTAGTTGATGCCATTCTTGTCCAATGTTGTATCGAGGCGGCCAGATATGACAAGAGCGATCATTAATCACGACCTAATAGTAACTTCCTGGAAGAAATGAAGAAACAAATTACCTCTCATTGAGTCATGACATTTCCCGTCCCTTACACGACACGAATAGCCATTACCAGGGATGGAAATGGCTTTTAAGAATTAGGTAGACGCTCCAACATCAGTTGATCAGTCCAGAGATGGTCATCAATTGTGTTGCCGTAAGTGCAGTGCGTCTATGTCTTGTCGTTAGTTATAGTGAATTCGTTCTCTTTTTTTTTTCTTTTGAAAAATTTTAAATACTGGAAATAGCGTCTTTAAAACATTCTGAAACTAGGCAGGCTGCATCTGTAGTATGTATGTGTTTATTCTGTGTTTGTGTTGTCCTGTGTTTAGGTAGAGGCCTTGCGGCGAGCTGATCACCCGTCCAAGGAGTTCTACCGCTGTAAAAAAATGATCAATGAAACTGAGAAATCAGCCCTATGCTCCGAAGTGGGAGTGAAAAAATCCTTCCAGCCGCACTATGGCTCTGGAGCCAACTCAGGCTCTAAAAGAAATAAGACCAGGGGTATTCCAGGAAATAGAGGACAACCGGCGCGTGAGGCTGTCAATCTCACCGCCATCTGTGAGCAGATTGTCTATAAAATGTGGGCGCCTCTTCATTTCACAACCCTATGGGCCTCCATTGCCTGCTACAAGGACAGTTTTACCTTTATTAAGACTTGCATCAGCAACAAATTAATATCAAGGTCAGTGAGGTGTACAAACCTACAAACAAGTGTTTTCCAGGGAAATGCATTCCAGGAACACGTACCTGACGTTTATTCGCAATCTCTTAACTGTAAACATATTCTCGGAAGGAAAGCAGAGATGAACCTAATCCTCCTCCTCATGCTGCAACCACTGCCCCGATATCTTGATATACTTCTCATGTACGATCCAGATTCCAGCTAGAAGTATGGCTTCTATTTACAAGCTAAAAGTTACAAATATCGCTATGATGCGAAGTTTTTAGGTTATCATTGGAAAACTAACGTAATGTGAATTTGTAATATTGAAGACGTTGCCGAGAAATGTCTTGTTGAATTGCATAACTACGTTTATAATTCACAGAATTGCCTTAGATATTGAAATACATAAAAGGACATCTATCTATCTATCAATCTATCTATCTACAGCCCTTTGTTGGGCCTTGTCAGTTTTTTTTCACATTCTCGATCTTTTACACAGTTGGTAGAACTCCTTGGATGGGAGATTAGTCCGTCACAAGGCCACTATCTACACACAGAACACAAACCTCCATGCCTCGAGTGGGATTCGAACTCACGATCTCAGTGTTTGTGCAGGCGAAGACAGTTCATCTCTTACACCGTGCGGCCACTATGATCGACCTTGAAACGAAACATGTCTCATAAATTGTTCCCAGAATCCTTTGTGTCCTTACCAAGTGTTTCGACATAAAACATGTAGGATTGTCCGAAAAGTTAGTAACTGATTTCTATTTTGTTTGAAGGCGGTTTTTGTAATTTTTCTGGCCAAATCCATGCCAATCGCAAAGGCCGTAAGGATATACAACCACACAAGTATCAAATCAACTGAATCAATTGTTTACGTATGTTGGAAAACAGCAGATGGAGCATCCCAAGTACAAATCGTTGCTCGAGGGAGCTACAATACACGACGAACAGAATGACGCGCTGGTGTCCCAAGTTCGTGCCGGTTCACATGTTTTCATCGAGTGGGAAATTAACCTCCTGAACGTCATGAAGAGAGAGTTCCTTGCTACTAACAGATGTGACTTCGCCCTCGGTGAGTTCTTTGACAGTTATTTTACTAATCTTAATTCTTGCTATCAACGGCTTCAAGTCTTCGTATGTAGCCCACAGATTCCTTACGTGGGGTTCGCCGGATTTCAAAACAAATATTGCATGCTTATATTTCTATTTCATTTCCTATCCCTCGTTTTCAGAATGAAGCAAAGCCACTGTTCGTTGTCCTGATTTTAAGATTAGAATAGATGTAATAATATTGTGGAAAAGTAGCGGCTCCGGTCTAGAAAACCGAGATTGACGGCCGTGGGGATCCGTTGCGCTGACCACCCGAAACCCTCTGTCCGCTAAAGTTGGAACTAACTTCGCCGACAAGCGGCGGTCGTTCGGTCGGTATAGTTAGTTTGCGGGCTACAGGCCATGAAATTTGTTTATTTGTATTCATATTGATTGGTAAAAAGGTAAAGCTATCACTGTAACAGGCCATGGTGGCCCCTTGGGTTGTGAGACGTAGAGGCTTCCACATTATTTAATGTAGACATTCGGCTCACAGATGGCGGTAAGTATGTCAGCCTTACACGCCGGCCGCCCTTTAGCCCCGAGCAAGATTCCTGGTACTTATTTCTGTTAGAGACTGAGTCAACCCCAAGGTCATAGTGCCACTGGAAGGCTTAGGTCAACTGAAAAATGCAATGATCTCATCTGGAATCGAACCAGCATAGTGCCTCAAGCAACTACGGTACCGCGTGTCCCATTGATTGCCAGTCGGTTTATTTAAATATACTCATACTTTTTCCAGCTACATAAGTTATAAAATCTGTGACCGCCTGCTTCATGCTGGTTTCGCACTTGGTTTATTTTCCTTCGCCAGAGATGGAGGCGGGATATTCCGAAACGGTAGTTGATTTTCACCGGACTAGGTGTCGTTATGTCCCAGAAAACAGAATCGTTGGTAGTCAACGATGTTAGAGTATAAGTGAATTATGTACAGTAGCATGTTTATGGATGGCGAATCTTGTAGTATTCGGGAAGTAAGCAGTTATAACATGCCTTAAGATAACATCCTATAATTTTCTGTGATAAATGGAGGAAAACCACGAAACAAGTATCAAAATAATGTGCCCCAGGATCTGCCAAATACGAATAGTCATTGCTAATTACTCTGTCAGTTAAACACTAGATCAGTTTTTTTTTCCTTGAGGTGGGGTGAAACTGAGTCCACTTGGTACGTCGGCAACTTCTGGCCTATTGTACCAGCCCCAGATGATAGATGTGGACCAGTCGGTGACATGAGAATTGGTAAGGAAGCCGAAGTACTCGGAAAAGACCTGCCCCAGCGACATTTTGTCCACCAAAAATCAAACATGATATGAGCTGGGATCGAACCCGGACGGTCACGATGGGAAGCAGGCTAGATTACTGTGAATCGAAATGCTAATTTGGAATCAGTGCACAGAGATACTGGGTTTTCGGACTTTGTCCATTGTCCGGATTCTAAACAACTAAGAAAAAACACAACGTTTCGGAAACTGGATCTGTTTCCGTCTTCAGGTGAGGGAAGACACCTACTCTGTTCGGTCCTTTAGAAAGAGCTGGACAAAGTCCGGAAACCCAGTATCTCCGTGTGTTATACACCATCGTCAGAAACCTATAGTATCTACTTAGAATTAGTAGTTTTAGCATTCATTCATGTTGCAGGAGACGAAGAATTTTTGGAAGAACAACTAGCGATGATGATGCCGTTAGGGAGCCCATACCTCGGAATGGTCAACAGAGAGTGAGTGCCTCATGTTTCGCTTCTTCAGTACGCTTTCATCTGGGCTGTATTTATGAACGCTGCAAGCAGATGCCACGCAGTCTGCCTTCCCTTCTCTGAGTGCCCCCCAAGTTCATACAGGGAGCAGTAAATCCAAAATTAGCCGCGCCATAGCTCAAGCGGTTAGTCGCTGGCTTTCCACAGAGGCGGCCCGGGTTCGATCCTGGGTCTGGTCAAGTGGGATTTGTGGTGGACAAAGTGGCGCTGGGGCAGGTTTTCTCCGAGTACTTCGGTTTCCCCTGCCAATCTTCATTCCACCAATTGCTCCATTATCACCCTCGCCTATCATCTGGGGCTGGGACAATAGGTCAGAAGTGGCCGCAGTACAAGGGACTTAGTCCCACCCCAATAGCAACAAAAAAAAATCAGATGGCACGTAGTCTGCCTTCCCTACTCTGAATGCCCCCAAGTCCGTACAGGGAGCAGTAAATCGAAAATCACGTACAGAGGAAGTGTAGCTGGTCTGGTCTAATGCAAAACCCGATGATGGTTACAGGGGAAGAAGAGCTGCAAGAATTTGGATTATGATAAAATTTTGTTTAGAGGCTGAAATAATAACTCTGATAGGGTCTGTTCGAATAATATTGTTTAACTGCAGATAGGAAATAATTTGAGAATGTTTAAAAACGTTAAGTATCCGATTATAATAATAAAAACTAGAAATGAAATTTGTCTAGAAAGGAGAACACATTCATTAAATGTATCTTATACGTTCTTGAAAAGAATTATTATAAAGTCTACGTTTCAAACAACTCAAAAGCATATTAATATAACTATAACAAGTTTTAAAGTTGTGAAATGTGATTTCTTACTATCACGGAATAAAATAAATTTCCGATGTATGAAAGGAACAGGGATAGCTCAGTTGGTATAGTGACTCTATACTTATAGAAATAGGTTTCGAGAGTGTAAAGAGGATAGAACTGACTGAGGATCATATCCAATTCTAATCCTTGGTACTGTTGGGGATGAATTGTTTGACGCTACTCTCCACTGTCAAAGAAATAATCATGAAATGCTGGTGGAAACGCGACTGGCAGGAAATCTAAGCATGTAGAGAACGCCAGGTTCTTTTCTCCCCCGTAAATCATCATTACGAGACTTGGTTGATTTTGGTGCAGGCTTCGGCGAATGCACCAAGCCGGCCTGATCTACAAATGGTACCTCGAGCACCTGCCCAGGAAGGACCGCTGCTGGACCACCAGTCGGATTATGCAGGCCACAACCCACGTTGTCAACCTGGACGACATGCAAGGTTCCTTCTTCGTGCTTGGTTTAGGTGAGACTATGAACATTTTATTGAGGAACTCTTCACGGTGCCCGTGCTTTAGCTCAGGTAGTTAGTCGCCGGTTTCCCACAAGGGCGGTTCGTGTTCGAACCCAGATCTGGCCGTGTGGGATTTGTGGTGGACAAAGTTGCACTGCGGCAGGTTTTCTTCGAGTACTTCTATTTCCTCTGCCGATTTTCATCCCACAAACTGCTACACGTTCATCACCACAGAAAACGTGGAGCTCGAAAATTTGGCCAAATTGTGGCCGGTTTACCAATTGGACTGTCACCCCACCCTAAGTAATGAAAAAACTCTTCACGGTACCTATCAGTGGAACATATACATGTACAAGCCATACTTTTACTCCTGGACTCTGGATATTGCGTGAAGGTTTTGGCAAGAAGTGGCAGGGCAGTAGACGCTGTTCCAATATTGAAATTAGGGTGACTATCTCTAACGAATGGCCACTGCTAAAACCACGCATACCTTACAATTCTTATCTCAGTGGATTCCACAGATCCACTGCATGTTCTGTTGAGAACAGTCAGGTCATTAGTTAAGGGCGTATGGTATATCTGCGGTCTGAATTCTGTGAAGCAGGTAATTTGTACACCTGTGGTCTGAACTCTGTAGAGCAGGCCAACTGAATATCTGGGGTCTGAACTCTGTAGAGCAGGCAAACTGTATATCTGCGGTCTGAATCTTGTAGAGCAGGCCAACTGAATATCTGCGGTCTGAACTCTGTAGAGCAAGCAAACTGAATATCTCGGGTCTGAACTCTGTAGAGCAGGCCAACTGTATATCTGCGGTCTGAACCTTGTAGAGCAGGCCAACTGAATATCTGGGGTCTGAACTCTGTAGAGCAGGCCAACTGTATATCTGCGGTCTGAACCTTGTAGAGCAGGCCAACTGAATATCTGGGGTCTGAACTCTGTAGAGCAGGCCAACTGAATATCTGGGGTTTGAACTCTGTACAGCAGACAAACTGCATATCTGCGGTCTGAACTCTGTTAGAGTAAGCAAACATGTCTGTGGTCTGAACTCTGAAGAACAGGCAAATATTTCTGAGGTCTGAACTCTATACAGAAGAAAAATCGTGTACCTGTGGTCTGAAACCCATGGGGCAGGTGAACAGCGCAGAGGGCGGTGGTTCCATCCTCTAAGTCTTTTGATATGTGAGGACCAGCTAAGTGATGAAATGTCCATCTGGTATTTTGGAAAGCAGGCCTGAATCCATTGTGCTACAAATTGTTTTCTGGCACAGAAATGCAAACGGGGCACATATTCAGAAGAATTTAATGGTGCTGTCTGTTTTCAAACGAACGAGAGATTCAAATTACCAAATTCTAATCTGAGTAATAGGTCACAAGAAGGAGAGTTACATTGTACTCTCAGCTTATTCTCAACAGAAAAGAGAATTTTATATTTTGCGACAGAGCTTGTAAGCTGAGTTGTCGGTGGCAAGCAGTAATAACACGCCGGATAAAATTCAAAGACTCGTAGAATTTAGTTTAATATATTAGAAGTTTTCAACTGACTTGTATAAATATAAAATGCCTGAGGAAATTGCACGTGTTCATTTACTTACCGAATCCCGAGTGCAGTTTAAACAAATGATATCTCATGTCCGCAGCATAATTTTCATATTATTGACACTTATGTTTCAGGTTGCGCCTGCGCAGTGATACTCATCTGTCTCGAGCAGTGCTACCACAAGCATAAATTATCTAAAGAGAAAAGGGTGATAAAACCTTTTGCTTCTTAGATTATTATGTACTAATCCAAGGCGTCTTACTTTATTGAAGAAATTTATCTACACACATATTTGTATGTAACAAGTATTATTGTATGAAATCTCAATGTGCAAGAATATACTAACTTTCATCAACCGAAAAGAGGCGTATCTTTCTTTTGTAAACTTTTGAATCAAATTCCGGCTCCAGCTACGAAGTAATGTAACATCATACATCTATCCTCTTACTTTAATAGACAGGCTAGCGGCCTTTGGGGGGGGGCTATTTTGAATAGAGTACGAAATTTCAAATTTCACCAAAAGCTATGAATTTTGTAGTAATCTGAGGGACTATTAGCTTCTCAAAAAGGATCATCTTCGATTGACTTATTTGCATTCGATATGTGAATAACGTTTCGTGGTATTTTTAATCTATGCGAACAAAGAGTAACTAAACTTTTCAACTTTCATGCTGTAGATTAAAAATACTATCCCTGTAACAGTCCGTGAAGGCCCATAGGGTCGTGAGACGTCGAGGCCCTCATGTTTTGTCTAGATTCCAGAGTTTAAAGTGCTGTTGTGTTTCTCTACGTTGAATATCAAAATATATTTCCTGCGTTTAAAAAAAAAACATTTTAAAACAGAGGAACATATTTAACTTATTCCTAAATTACAAAAATCTAGTGAATTTCACAAAAAACACACACCCATTTAAATGAAATATTTTTATTTATATCCCACTACAAATATTGATTTATGAACTTTTATATTCAATTGTGAAGAAAATGTACAATCTACGAATACTATGTTCGTTTGAGATGTAACGCCGTGGAATTCTGTACATGTTAATCGACGTTTCGGTAGAATATATCGCCTTCATTTTCAGGGTCGAAGTGTAAGGAAACAACGAAGCAAAGACGAAGTAAACGTTGAGTAGAGCTATGTTTGCCATCTGCTTCTTGCTAGTTTGTTGTTTGGCTTACTCTTTGTGACCTTGAAGATGGAGGCGATATATTCTTCAGAAACGTCGGTGAACTTGTGCCGAACTACACGTCATTAAAGTTCAAGAGATGGTACACTTCTAGTGAGAGTCTAAAATCCAACAAACAAAATCTACTTGATTCTGTATCAGAACAGAGGACCTAATCCACGCAAGTTGAAGTCTCTGTAAGATGTACGGTATTACATGCTTTCGATTAAGAAAGCTAAAAAATATGCATATTCACAAAATTTTGTTTATTCTTGAGCACTGGTCCCCAAGCACCATACTGCGTCTTCTTACTCTCTTGAATTTTCCTATCTTCTTGAGTCTTTTTCTCCTCCTGAACCTTTTTCTGCTGAGCATCGAATATAGCTTTTCTGAAAAAAAAAATTATTAGAGAGATTGCATGTCTTAAACTTGTTATAGCATATTTGTTGCTTCATAGACTATCCCTAATCTTTAAAACATGTTTTTGTTATATTTTTAACTTATAATGTCGTAGGATTTGAGGTTATCACAGCGGTTCTTATGAAGAATTTTATCTTCTGGGATATAATGTACACGAATATCTCGGAGGAACACGTCACCTCAATCTTCAAGGATCAAACTGAGCACAAAACCAACATGAAGAAGGTTGTTCTGCTTGCTACCTATGCTAGCACGAATGGGTCTCGAGCAATAAGAAGAAAATTGTACCCTTGAGGTTTCCAGAAATATGAGGTGGGGGTTGAAGAGCCTAGAATCTCACCAAGGGAGGAATTCTTAGCCGAAAGATATACAATGATGTGGCAACTATAAATAACCCAACAAACATTCTTCTTTATGAATATAAGAAACCGGTTATTTAGAGCTATCTAAATCGGTGAGGTTACAAATTGAAACCAGAATACATTTCTGTAATCCCGCTACAATTCTGAACAAACATAAAAGCCAATGGAGCTCGTAATATCGCAAAGCAAAATTTTCCTAATTAGGGTAGTTACCGTATTTACGCATGTATAGGCCGCACATTTTTTGCCAAAAATTCAAGAGGAAAACTGGGGTGCGGCTTATATTCGAAATATTCGAAATCACACTTCATTTAAAAAAAAATTATATTCGGAATATT